AAGTTAGGAAGTGTTTGACAAGGTACTTAAAACAAGTTTAAAATGACTTAAAATAAGTCAAAAACCAAAAATAGGTCTTCCCCTACTTTTTATTTTTTTACTTAAAAGTCATTTTCATTTGATTTTTTATTTTTTGACTTAAAAAATACTTTTTTTAAGTCAATCCAAACGTGCTCTTAATAGTGTACAAATAATTAGTAATCCCTTTATTTCAATTTTTTCTCTATTTTAAATTGATACAAAATTTAAAAAATAAAGAATACTTTTACATTTTATAATATTAAATTAAAGATATATCAAATATATCAAAATATTTTTAATTTTGTAATTAAAACATGTCATGCAAAAAGTTAAAATTAAAATATTGCTAAAATATGAAAAAACCTTTTTAAAGCAATATTTTATTTTATTTTTAAAAAAAAAAACTAAGATGAACAATTGAAATGGGAGTATAGTTCAATCAAAAGAGAATTTTTTCTTCTTAAAAGAAATGTACGTACGTAATAATTTTTCTACTCCATATTTAGGGCCCGTTTGGCCATGCGATATAGAATCATGATATGGTATCATGATATGGAATCATGATATGGTATCATGCTATGGATTCATGAAATGAAATCAAAGTTTTGTTTGGACATGCGTTATGAAATTTTTGTGTTGTATATTTTCTCACAAACATAAAAATCTCATAAGTTGTAAAACTATTAAAATAGCCCCAATTGTTTATTCAATCTTATCAAATAAACAAAAATTTATAAAATCGCATAATAAATTATTACAAAGCTATTTGTTCTCCACTTAAGTAATTGCTTCATCTAACTTTAATTTAATAAAAAAAATTGAACATAAATTGAAGTGTACTGGTCTTTAATATAATCCTTCCACGTAGTACGGACAATTTCCTCACGTTGAACTTGCATTTTTCGATCATGTGACCGAGAAGATGAACCAACATTGTTACTTTGAGCCATTTGTTGGTCAATATCATCCGCAACTATATTTTCATGCTCATAGACCATAAATATTTCATCAATACTTTGGTATTCTCGCAAATAATTATGTAACACCGCACAAGCTATGACAATTTTCACTTGTGTATCAATATCATAATGGTTCATGCCTTGTTTCAATATTCTAATAAATCTATTTTTCCAAGCTTCAAAAGTCCGTTCAATCACATTGTGCAGAGATGAATGCCTATAATTAAACAGTTCTTTGGCATTTTGAGGCTCGCTTTCACTTCTTCGGTAATTTTGCTAATGATAGTCCTTTGTATGGAGCTAAAAATCCTTTTGTGTTTCGAAAATCAGCATCAACAACATAATATTTATCTACCAACAAACATTTTATAAAGAATTACTAAAAGCATATGTGACGGAAATGAGACAGCTTTGTGTAAATAAATAATATTTATTCTAAAGATGTAATTTAAAGTTACCATGTGGCTGAAATGGAAATTGTGACGTTGGTTCAACAAGTGCATTCTCAAGTACTTTACTATCATGTGCAGTATCTTCCCAATCAGCAGCAAAAAATGTAAAACGCATATCAAAATCACAAGCACATAAGACTATATGTTGGTGAGAATAATAAATTTTATGCTGGTGAGAATAATAAATTTTATGTCGGGGAGAATAATAAATTTTAAAAAGTAATGATATGATTATAAATTTTATTTACATATGAAATAAATGGTTAGTAGATATAAATGTGGGGTTGTTTTAACAAAATATAAACTCGTGGATCAATTTTTGCATTAAAATATCTCAAATCTTGATTTGGAATTCCCATATAATTCCATATCATGGTTTTTGGAGAATATGGAATCACATCTCATGATATGGAATCATGAGATGGAATCAGCGTAAAATTGCATGTCCAAACGCTAATTCCATCTCACGATACCATATTGTGATATGGTATCGCATGGCTAAACGCCTACTAAGTGAATTGTTGAAATTTTTTGCAAGTAAATTATTACGAGTTTTTTTTCTCTTCATGTTTACCCTTCATTTAGAAAGGTTCTTAACTACTACTTAACATTTTTTAGAAGATTAATTTAAAATAATCAAAAAAGTTGCAGAAGTAACTTCTAATTTATGTCCTTATATATTTTTATCGTACTCCAACAATTCATTTTATATAGACTATAGAGGAGTATATATGTCTCATTTGTTTGCACTTAATAAAAGTCTAAATTTTAATCATTTAAATTCAGCTTATTAAGTGTATTTGATTTTTATGTCTGAATCTTAATCATTTAGATTCATCAATTAATTAATTTCATTTATTTTTAAAAAAAACGTCTCTAAATCGATTTAAAAAGATCTGAATGAATCAAATGTGTAGAACAGTCTTAACAACATTAAGACTCATTTAATACGTTATATTCCAAAACAAACAAAAAAACACACAACTTCGCCTCTCTTCCCCCCTCTTTTCTCAACCAAATATCAATTTTCTCTTGAGCTGGTAAGTTTTCATAATCTTTACAAGTACTTTATTTGGTATTTTATATATATATATATATATATATATATATATATATAATTTGTATTGATATTTGTCAAAATTTCTTGTTGTCATTCTTTTTGGATGTATTAATATTTATCAAAAACTCAAAATTTCTAAGTGAAAAATAATTGGTTGAGATTGAAAATAACTATGTAATAAGATATACAATATTTATATACTTGAGGTCTCTTGTTAAAAATTTATTTTTAAAACATTAATTTTATTGAGACTCTTTAATTATCAAACACCGCTTGCGTGAATACACTAGATATACTATTGTTATTAAGAAAGAAGTTATATCATAACATACTATTATTATATTAGTTTTTGCTTCTATTTTCCAAATACGAAGTATTTTTTCTTTATTTTGATTTTTTTATTGTAATTGTCTTTGTTTAATTACTGTTGATTGTGTATGTACATATGTTATATTTATAACATATTTATTATATTTTAATATTTTATTATGGAACAATCTAGAGAAAATTCAAAAATGATTTGAAAGAATATAGATGTAGACAAGACTTTCTTAAACAACTATATTCAGAAAATATCCTTAATAGAAAGACTTGGAAGTATTTTGAAGAATGTTAAAATAGCTTTGCAAAAATATTGGCCAAGATTACAACTTTGTAAAATATACAATAGTCTCTCACTGAATTTGTTGTTTTAGGCCTTGTTTTAGATCACTAATTTGTTGAGATTTATATATCATCAAAATCGTTTGTAAAATCATATTAGATATATTATTATTGTATTAAATCCTTCGATGTATGTGAATTAGAGAGTTAAAGAATGAAGTGATATAATGTTTAATCAAATATAAATATTTAAATTATTATTTTTATCAAATAATAATAATAATAATGTATTGAAATTTTTTTATAATATTTTATGAATATAATATTTAATTGGGAAAAGGGTTAAAAATGGCCTTGACATATCTCAAATGGTTCAAATATGCCCTTCTTCTATCTTTTGATTTTAAATGCCCTCAACGTTTTTTTAAGGTTTAAAATCGTCCTTTTATAACAGCCCAATAACATGACAAATGATGAGTCATTTAATTAGATAAATGGCTTTATCTTATTGGTCCACCTAATTTTTTTAAGTCCAGCCTAACGACCCGATCCATTTATGCTACGAAAATTCATACCCACCCAGAAACGTCTTCCTCCAATGCTTGTATTGTGTTTGGAGAAAGGCAAATCTCAAAAATCATACTCCCTTCTTCTGCCCCAGGTGATATATCAGTTTTCCTCTCCAACATGTTTGACACTCCACCTCTCTGTGCAATTGCTTTCCCCAATCAAAATCATACTTATTAAAATTGAATCGCGGAGAGTAGTGCAACACAAAGTAATTACTTGGCAAATCACCCATAATTATATTCTACTCGAAACAACTAATTATAGAAACTTCTGTGGACAACCTGGATTCTAAACCGAAGAAATGTTGAGCATTATCATTCACTGCTCTGTTTTCATTTTTGTATTGAGTTTCTAACGAGGAATTTGAATTCTAAACGACTAAAGTTTCAAGATAGCTTCTTCAATATATGACAAAACAAATTGAATTCAAAAACTTGCTTACAATAAAACTAGAAAACCTGCCGAATCTCTGTCTGTTATTTATCGAAATCCAAGTCGTAAACAAGTTTGTAGTTCAGCGATTAATTGTCCAGTCATATGCAAAAAATCAACTCGACAAATCTTGTTGTAGAGAAGAAATTAACATTGTAGTTCTTCCATCTTTTTCTTCCTGAAATTAACTAGAGAAATGGAGAAAAAAGAAGAGTTGAAGGAGGTAGGAAGAAAGAAGAGAACTAGAACTAATGGGAACAAAAGACCCAAATACGATTGGCCTATCGGGTCAGGTTTTTTAAATGGATTTCTAGACTAAGTGGGTCATTTATTTTGAAATGGGTTAAGAAAATCCATGTCACATTTGCCATATTAGCGAGCTATTAAAAAAGGGCAATTTTAAACCTTAAAAAGACGTTAAGGACATTTTTAAACCAAAAGATGAAAGAAGGACATATTTGAACCATTTAAGATACATTAAGAACATTTTTAACCCTTTTCCCTATTTAATTTTATATGCGCAGATATTTTAAAACAATAATAACTAATCATTCATGATTCATCTTAATGCGGCCTTACTTTAATTAATACATACAGGGTGATCCACTAAAATTGGCTAGACATCCTCACAATTAAAACGTCAGTCGGTGGGGCCCAACAAATTCTGTCCCCACGCAAAGAAAAACGAGAACATTCAACCATACATAAGTTCATGCACTGAATGGCGCGTGAAATGTACTCACCCTTGTAAGTTCCCAAAAACACCCTCTTACCCTTGATAATTTCACTAATACCCTTGAATCCTTCCTATATAATCCTTCTCTACCTTCTTCCCCTTTCAATCCAATCTAATCTAATCTAATCATCATCCCATTATTAGTTGGTACATAAATAGTGTATTCTATTCTCTCTGGAACTGGCTAATAATTCTCAGGAAATTCTGGAAGAAACCAGAAATAAAGGGGTGGTGCTCGCCCTATATGAAGCTTTGAGCTCACGTGACGTTGATAAGGTCCAGAAACTTCTGGCCTCTGACCTTGAGTGGTGGTTCCATGGTCCACCTTCACATCAATTTTTGATGCGCATCCTAACTGGTACTGCCAACTCGGACCACTATTTTTTCAAATTCATTCCTCAGAGTATTGACGCCTTTGGATCTACTGTCCTTGTCGAAGGCTGCGATCCTGATCGTTCTATTACTTGGGTTCACGCTTGGACTGTTAATGATGGGATAATTACTCAGGTTAGAGAGTATTTCAATACCTCTCTCACAGTCACTCGACTTGACAATAATAATAATTCCCCTTCATCGGATTTGTCTTCCATTGCTCCTTCACGGCATTGCCCTTCTCTTTGGGAGAGTAGTCTACCTAATCGGGTCGGTAAGTCGGTTCCGGGTCTTGTTCTGGCTCTCTGAGTTCCGCGAGGATGTAAGTTTAACGATTGATTTGGGGGTTTGCTTTGCTTTGGGTTGTTTTGTTTTTATTTTATTATCTGCAATTTTAATTTGCGACCATGATGAATGGTTATGGTGTTGTAATATATTATTATGTGATACGGTGTATTTGGTTTGCAATAAATGCACTTCTTGGTTTATTAAGAGGCATTTATTTCATGTGTTAGATTTTACTTATGCAAGCTCTCGACTAGTTTTGAAAAGTCACAAAAGTAACCCTGTTGTATCTTAAAAGAACAAATTTAGATCTTTAATTAAAAATGAATAAGTATTTAATATTTTATATCACAACTCTCTTGTTTGTATTTACCTGAGTTTTTTCTTTACTGGAAACACACATTGAAATTGATGGATGCAATTTGCTAAAGCTAAAGAAGTAGGTGCAGGAGACAGGAAATACTTTGCTTTTGGGTGTAGCCAAAGAATAATTCAACGGGATTAAAAATATCAGAAAAAAGCGACTTATCACCTTATTAGTGTACATTTAGTAGGATATCAAGAAACTTATCAGCCATACATTGTGTTTATTGGATGGATAAGTGGAAACCCCCCCCCCCCCCCCAACCCCACCCCTTTGACGTGCTTATCGTATAATATGCGTAATTTTACTAAGTAGGCGTTTGGCCATGCGATATCATATCACGATATGATATCGTGAGATGAAATCAGCGTTTGGACATGCGATTTTACGCTGATTTCATCTCATGATTTCATATCATGAGAGGTGATATCATATTCTCCAAAAATCATGATATGGAATCACCATGTGATTTCATATCATGATTTGAGATATTTTAATACAACAATTGATCCATGAGTTTATATTTTGTTAAAACAACCCCACATTTATATCTACTAACCATTTGTTTCATATGTAAATAAAATTTATAATCACATCATTACTTTTTAAAATTTATTATTCTCACCGACATAAAATTTATTATTCTCACCAACATATAGTCACTTTAACTCACACCTCAAAGTAACAATGTTGGTTCGTCTTCTCGGTCACATGATCGAGAAATGCAAGTTCAACGTGAGGAAATTGTCCGTACTATGTGGGAGGATTATATTAAAGACTAGTACACTACAATTTATGTTCAATTTTTTTTTATTAAATTAAAGTTAGATGAAACAATTACTTAAGTGGAGAACAAATAATTTTGTAATAATTTATTATGCGATTTTATAATTTTTTGTTTACTTGATAAGATTGAATAAACAATTGGGGCTATTTTAATAGTTTTATAACTTATGGGCTTTTTATGTTTATGAGAAAATATACAACACAAAAATTCCATATCGCATGTCCAAACAAACCTTCAATTTCATCTCATGATTCCATATCATGATACCATATCATGATTCCATATCATGATATCATATCGCATGGCCAAACGGGCCCTAAGAAAAAAGTGCTCCCTCCTCATTTCATGTGACTACAGTAATATTTATAGTTGATCATGAGATTTTGCCACGAGATAAATATTATTGTAACAATAATAATTTTTTAGCCACAAGAAACTATCTGAAACAAAATAATAAAACTTTAGCTATATATAATAAAATTTTGTTTAATTATATTAGTTTAAGCTATGAGTTGAAACTTATTGCAGCAATAGAAACCTTTGAGCTAGGGGCGGATCTACGTGGACAGGTGGGGGTGCCACGACACCCAGTGATCTCGAAAAAACATTGTATATATATAATAGTTAAATATATATTAACTTTGCCACCTAGTAATTGAAATGCTGAACAGTTCCAGTGCTGGCTCAATGCTTATAGAAATTAGGCATATGCCTTAGGCCCCCATTTTAGGGGGCCTCTAAGTTTTACTACAATAAATTATGTGTTAATTTTTTTATAGAAAAAAATAATTATCTAAGATAAATATTTTTTTCTTAAAAAATATATATATTATTTTATTCACCTTAACCTCAATAAATAGAAGAAATCAAGAAAAAATTGTTTTGTCTTCTTACATTCTCTTCACTAACTCTCGCACTGTAATTTTCTAGACTCCTTTTATACTATAGGTAAGTTAGAGCTCTATAAAAATATGAATAAATAGTAAAAATCATGTTTTGGATAAAGTGAATTACAAGCCTGTTTAGATTGACTTATTTTATGTGTTTTAAATAAAAAAAAAGAAAAGAAGAAGCTTATAAGCTGTTTTGTCAACTTATTACTTATAGAATAATGTTAACAAGTTATATAATAATTGCTAGCTAAAAGATTTAGGCCTTTAATTGAAATTTCACTTTGGCCTCCAAGTACGTTGAGCCGCCCCTGAACAGTTCAATTGGTTAAGGAGGCCGCCTGCCACACAGCCAACACGGGTTCGATCCTCGCTGAAAGCATCTACTTTTTTGTTTGCTCCTTCTTTTTTTTTTTTGTCTTTTTTATTAATGTGTAAAGGGTTTTAATTTATTTTTTCTCCATTCATTCTTATTTATTTACTATTCTTTATTAATTCAAATTGACTCATTTTCATAATTAATTTTTATTTATTTTTTACTTTCTCTTTCATTAATTATTAATCTATTGATATGAGTGTTACATGTTTATTCTTTATCAATTAATGACTACTGAATTATGAAAGTCAAATAAATATTATTAAGAATATATTTAAATGGTAGTTTTTAAAAAAATATAAGTTTTAAAAATGATGAATATTATTATTAGATTTTTTTTTTTAATTTAAAGGTTCTTTCGATCTTCATTGATGTTCTTTCTAAGTAAGATGACTAGGCTGAAACTATAATTTTTATTTTTTCCCTACTATATATCTCTAACAACACATAAAGTCAATGGAATATGAATATATTAAGTTCATACTATTAGATAGATTATACAAGCTCAAATTTTAATGTGAAAAATCTTTTTTTTTTTCTGTCAAAGTTTCAGCGAATAAGACATCTAATTCCAAAAAGTAAATAAAAATTGATTTGTTCAGTTATCTCTAATCTCGAAATATCTAAAAAATATATATATTATTAAAATGCATATTTGATTGATTTGTTTATAAAAATAAAAAAAGATTAATAACCCAAATTGTAACCCAAAATTAAAGCAACCGATCCTTTTATCTTACTTGAACGATGTGGCACCCACGATCTCCAAATCTTAGATCCGCCTCTGCTTTGAGCCATGATAAATTATTTGAATCAAAATATTATAACTAGAAATCTTTTTGCTTTAAGTTATAGACATTGTGGCAGTAGTTAAATTATATAGCCACAATTTTTATGTTGTAATAAAATTTTCTAGCTAATTACTATTTTTTGCCATGAGTTAAAATTTACTGTAACAGTTGTAACCTCAATGAATAATGTGAAATAATTGTTTGAAAGAAATTATTGTAGCTAAATTAAAAAAAAATTCAAGTTATATAAAAATTATTGTAGTCATTGCCTTAATACAGTTATTTGTCATGATAAAATAATTTAGTCATGAATTTATTTATTATGATAAAATTCATAGCAATTTTTTCTTTTATATCACGAGTTGAAATTTATTATAGCAATAATAATTATTTTGCCACATTAAAAATTTGTTTGATATAACTGATGTTGTTATAAAAATAGTACTTCACAATGATTAGTCATACTATTTTTTTTTGTAGGTAGATGAATATTTGTAGAAATATGTATGCATATATGCTTTTAGATAGATTTTTACATTCTGATCAGTATTATTACAAGCTTGTACAAAATTTTTTTACATGATATTAGTGGCAGTTTAGTTGTTTACGGTATATTATCATATCCTTCTTTCACATACCACTATACTACTTATTCATCCATATGTCTAAAGTACATTCATAGCTCTATAAGCATCAAACTTCCTTTTGAGAATCACGAAGTGCAACCTAGATCTATCAATCATTAACCACTTTAACTTTCATTAATGACCTGTACTTTTAAAAGGGAATGAAACGTCATCATAAACTCCTTTCTAGTTCAGCCATAATCTAATTCATCTTAACCAATAACTTTTTCGCTACCTTTTATCATGAAATCTGTACCAATTTACTACCCCTTACTTAACACCTAAAGACATATTACTTCACTTCTAACTTGATGGATACATATATATCTTTTCTGGATACTACACATTTAGATTTACACTTCTAATTTTGGGTCATTCTACTACTTATAAATCATAACATTTCAAATCATACTATCTTTGAGATGCTTATACTATCCAAGAGTATGGACACATACTTTCTCATTTCATAGATGTTCAATATAACGAGGAATATAGAAGAATCTTAATATATATATATATATATCATATTTTGGATCAACAATACAATTGACATAATTAAAGCATAAGATTTTGAATTGATGGGCTTAAACATATTAATGGGATCATCTCAAGTCCTTTATGCAGTCTCTGAAAAGTTGATAGTTCTATCTGAGAGCATCTTATCGGTAGGAACTGAACATTACTACTTCTATCACCTCAGAGATGAGGAATAATTATGGAATTTAGAGGAATACTCGAAACTACATCAATTTATTATGAGACTGCATTATTGCATAATCTAGAGTATGAAAGAAGGAAAAACATTTTCTAAATTTTCTGTAGCCTCCTCGTTATAAGTATGGTGTGCTTAACACCCATAAAATGACTATTGAAAAAACCGTTTAGAACATCAAAAGACTCTTGAACTTAGTACTCTCAGACCAAGTTTGTCACAATTCGTGTCTATACCCTAACCGAGACATGAGACTTGGAACCACAAGTAATTCCAAGCTGACATAACATATCTAAGCATATCATATGAAACTGAAGCAAAAGCTTTAAGCTAAAACCCCAATTGAAATAGATTTCAAGAATGAGTTTATTACAATTGAATACTAATGTATGAAGCATCTAAACTAAATAAAATAAATTATGGAGACAAGGCCCTCAGCTAGCCATAATACAAGTCGGAAATATGGATAGAAACAACTAAACTATGTCCCCGGATAAGGAGAACTCACTAACTGCTAAACTATGGATTGCTACTGTAGCGATTCGGAAGGATGCTACCACTTAAAGAAGAAATCTAATTTAATACTTGCGACATTTAAAAAAGATTAACAAAGGGCATATTGATAGAGGAATTAGGTTCATAGGAAAAAAAATAGTTAAAG